TGGTGTGGTGTGGTGTGGTGTGGTGTGGTGTGTGTGTGTGTGTGTGTGGTGTGTGTGTGTGGTGTGGTGGTGTGTGTGGTGTGGTGTGTGGGTGGGTGGGTGTGGGTGTGGGTGTGTGCGTCGTGGTTGGGTGTGCACGCATGTTGATTGGGGTGTGACACACGGCCCATTGCGCGCGTGCGTTGTTCTCTCAGGTGTTTGGCGTGCCGACGTTCTTCATCGGGGATGAGCTTGTCTTCGGCTCCGACCGATTCTACCACATTGCCCGTCTTCTAGGTCAGCATGCATGCCGTGGGTATGCGCGCTGTTTGTTTGTCCGGCTCTGTCTGGTTGTTTGTCTGTCTCTGTCTCTCTGCCCACTGCTTGCACAACCCTGACATGCAACCCATCACCCCCATGCCATGCCATCACCCACAATGCAGGCGAAGAGTACTACGGCCCCTTTGGCGCGCGGGAGCCGCAGGTCAGATAGCCATGCCGTAGTCATATGTGTGTGTGTGTGTGTGTATGTGTGTGTGTGTGTGTGTGTGTGTGTGTGTGTGTGTGTGTGTGTGTGTGTGTGTGTGTGTGTGTGTGTGTGTGTGTGTGGATGGCATTGATCCATCGCCATCGCCACCAGCGACGCGTGACCCCCACCCGGCCCAACCTGAATCTCTCACTCCGTGCCGCCAACAGGATATTCAGGAGATCTTGGACGCCAAAGCGAAGCTGTGACATGTGCAGCCACTCTCGCATTGGTCTCCCCTCCCCTCCCCTCCTTCACTCGTTGCGTACTGTTGTTTGTTGTTGTTATCCTTGCGTTTCATGGCACATTGCATTACGCATGCAAGCATGGCAAACATTTCTGTGCCTCTTGCCCTCGCACCCCATGACGTGTTCTTCTCCATCGTGGCTGTTACTGTCGTTGTTCTTGCTGTTCCTCCTTCTCGCTGCTGCCCACTGCTCGAGCGTGCAACGTGTTCCGCCCACACCAACAGCAACTACAACACCAACTACAACTCGTCATCATCGTCAGCATCCTCATCGAAGCCATTGCCCAAACAAAGACGACGACACCACCACTACCTCACCACTCCTCTCACCACAACAACTCACCCCATCAAGCATGGTCGACGGTGCTGTGATTTGGCTGCATGGTCTCGGCGACCAAGGCAGCTCGTGGTCAGACTTGGAGGAGAGGGTAAGCACAGGCGGAAGCATGAGCGGAAGCGAGCGTGTGTGTGTCTGTGTGTGTCTGTGCGTATGTGTGTCTGTGTGTGTGCGTGTGCGTGTGGGTGCGTCTGCGCCTGTCTGTCACGTAGCGCAAGATGTGGTTTGATGCCGCTCGCGCTTGCTTACTTGTTGGTTGTCTGGTACTCGCGCTGCAGTTCAAGCGGACATACAAGGGCAATGTCAAGTTCATGTTCCCCAACGCACCCAACGCGCCCGTCACCTGCAACCACGGCATGGTTATGCCTTCCTGGTTCGATCTCGTGGAGGTAGGTGTGTCTGTGTCTTTGTCTACGACTGTGTCTTTGTCTACGACTGTGTCTGTGTGTCTGCCTGTCCGTCTTTCTGTCTGTCCGTCTGCCTGCCTGTCTGTCTGCTCATGCCGTCTTGTGCAGTTGTCTGTGTGTATCCGCCCCTACGCCCCGCTTCCGCCAACGGTCCATTCTCCACACTCCCCCGCTCTCCTCGCCCCCAACCCCTGCTTGCACTTTGCCAGATCCCCTTGACGCCCCACTCGCGCGACTCCCCGGAGACGATCGCTGCGTCCGTTGATCGCGTCAACCGCTGGATTGCGCAGCTTGAAGCCGAAGGCATCCCATCAGAACGCATCATCATTGGAGGCTTCTCTCAGGTGCGTGTGGCTGTGTCTGTACCTGTGTCTGTGTGTCTGTGTGTACCTGTGTCTGTGTGCGTGTCTGTGTATCTCCGTGTCTGTGTGTCTGTCTGTCTGTGTATCTGTGTGCGTGTGTACCTGTGTGTCTGTGTGTCTGTCTGTGTATCTGTGTATCTGTGTGTCTGTGTACCTGTGTCTGTGTCTGTATCAGCATCTGTGCATCCGTCTTCCCCACATGCGGCTTGGGCTTGCACCCCATGTTTACCCCTTCGCACGTTGCGCGTTCATGCCTGCCCCTGCTCGCTGTTTAGGGAGGTGCGCTTACCATTCAGACCGTGCTTCGGAGCGACAAGAAGCTGGCAGGCGGTGTGGTCATCAGTGGATGGGTGCTCATGGCAAAGGTGAGGCAACAGCAAGCAGTGATTGTCTGTCTGTCTGTCTGTCTGTCTGTCTGTCTGTCTGTCTGTCTGTCTCCCTCCATGTCTCTGTTCCTCCCTCTTTGTCTCACCCCCCCCCGCCCCCGCCTGCACCTGTCCGTCCGTACGTGCCACACCCTTTCCCCCACCCCCACCCCCAACTCACTGCCGGCATCTCGCTTGCACACTGCGTGGTTGCGTAGGAGATTGACGCGTGGATGCAGCCCGTGAACAAGGACACGCCCTTCTTCTGGGGCCACGGCGCCATCGACCCGCTTGTCGTGCCGCAGATGCAGGAGACGGGTGTGGCGCTCCTGGCAGAGAAGGGCGTCAGCGTGGACTCGAAGGTGTACCCCGGTGTTCCACACGGCATCTGCGATGCAGAACAGAGGCACATCCTCAAGTTCATTGCCAACACGCTTGGCGTGGAGGAGAAGTAGGCACAAGAGCACATAAACGACACTACCACAATCATGAAGCATCGCGCCCACAACAGAGGGATGGGGGAATGGGCGAGGGAAGGGATGCGACAAGTGTTGCATCACGACAGCAGGAGGTAGCGTTGCACCTGTATCGTATCTGATCACACACCATGTTGTCAGGATACCACTCACACGGCACAGGGTGATTTTAATGCGTTACGTATGTCACACCGCCCAAGCACTACCCCCACAGGCCTGAAACAACATATCAAAGAACAAGCGCGCACACACGCACACGCACACACACGCACACACGCGCACACACACACACACGCGCGCGATCATCAGTGAAACCTCCTTCCTCGACACTTCCCCCCCCCCCCTCCAACTTCACTTTCCTCTTCATCCACGTCTTCATCCCCACGTCTTCATTTCCTCTGCTCGATGGTCCTTCAGTTGCAGCCGTCCACCACAATGTCGAGGCGGTACGGGAACGACGCGCTCCTGCGTGGCCCGTCCAACAGGACGAGGTACGGAGCCTCCTCGTCCACCGTCACCTCCACCGTCGCCGTGACGTCGTCATTGCGCATGCGCTCCTTGATAAACAGCCAGCCGTCGTTGTTGTGGATGGAAACGTCGAGGGAATCGGCAGTCGTGGCTTGCAAATGCACGCGCGCGCGCAGCACGCCGCCTGCACACACATTCACACGGAACCAATCGTACTCGCCCTGAACATTGTCGTGCCAGCATAAAGGTAGGGAACAGAGGCGTGAGCAATGACAACCGCAGCACAATCATCCGTAGTAAGAAGCATAGCACGACGCGACTCAAATATAACCTCCGCAGTGGGTAAATGCAGTCCCTGTCTTACCCTGCAGATGATGCCGTAGTGTGTTCCGGGAGCCACAACAGACGAGAAGCGATCGCGGCTGTTGTTGGGTTCATACTCATCATTGGCAGGGCACGACAGCGGCGGGAACGTCGTCGTGGTCGTGGTTGTTGTTGTTGTTGTTGTTGTTGTTGTTGTTGTTGTTGTTGTTGTTGTTGTTGTAGTAGTAGTAGTAGTAGTAGTAGTAGTAGTAGTAGTAGTAGTAGTAGTAGTAGTAGTAGTAGTAGTAGTAGTAGTAGTAGTAGTAGTAGTAGTAGTAGTAGTAGTAGTAGTAGTAGTAGTAGTAGTAGTAGTAGTAGTAGTAGTAGTAGTAGTAGTAGTAGTAGTAGTAGTAGTAGCAGTAGTAGCAGTAGTAGTAGTAGTAGTAGTAGTAGTAGTAGTAGTAGTAGTAGTAGTAGTAGTAGCAGTAGTAGTAGTAGTAGTCGTTGTTGTGGTAGTTGTAGTTGTAGTAGTCGTTGTTGTGGTAGTCGTTGTTGTTGTTGTTGTTATTGTTGTGGTGGTGGTGGTCGTCGTCGTCGTCATCATTGTCATTGTCGTCGTGACGGTGCCAGTCGTTGCTGTTCGTGACGTGGTGGTGGTCGACGGTGTCGCCGTCAGTGTTGCTGTTGTTGTTGCTGTCGTTGGTCGCATCGTCGTCGTCTTGGTCATGGTGGTATCCACCATGGTGGTCGATGTTGCTGTTGTTGTTGGCGATGTTGTTCGCGCAGTTGTTGGCGTCGGTCCAGGCGTCGTCGTCGTCGTCGTCGTCGTCGTCGTCGTCGACATTGTCACATCAATGTTAACGGTGTAATCGACACCGCGGCCATCGTAGCTGTACACCACAAGGTAGTACAAGCTGTCCGTGCCAGTCTGATCCGTGTGCGACACAAGCTCGTTGTCGTCTGCTGACACGCCAATCGCCACACGCGTGCCGCCTTCGGTCAGCAGCTCCACGTCCACGTCGCTGATCATGTGGTCGAACAGCACCGCAATCGTCACAGTGGCCCCTCCTTGGACAGGCACGCGGAACCAGTCTCCTTCGTCGTCCTCGCAGAGCGTGGCCGAAAACGCCGTTTGCTGTGCCGTCAACACTGCGGCGTGCTTGTAGTCGTAGTTGCCCGCAAACACATCATCAGCGCACCCAAAATCCATGGTCGTCGTGGTTGTTGCTGTCGTGGTCGTGGTTGTTGTCAATGTTGCTGTGGTGGTTGTTGTCATTGTTGCTGTGGTGGTTGTTGTTGTTGTCATGGTTGACGTGCGTGAGGTGGCGCTCACAGAAGTTGAGGTGAGGTTGTTGCAGCTCACGCTCACCTCGACACTGTATTCGGTACTCCTGTCATTGTAGCTGTACACTATGAGGTAGTATGGACCGCCCATGCCCGCAGTGTCCGTGTGAGCCACAGTCTCGTTGTCGGACAAACTCGTGCCGCTGTCAACAGTGACCAGGTTGCTGGCAACGAGATAAACGTCAACGTCGCTCAGGCTGTGATCAAAGCGCACGGCAGCCGCAACACTGCCGTACCTGCACACGGGAATGGCGTAAAAGTCAACATCTGCATCGGCACAGATGGTGGCAGTGAACGTCGTTCTCGCACCTTCGGGGAGAACAGTGGCATCACCGACAGCGTCGTTGGGTTCAAACACGTCTTGCTCGCACTGCGTGGGCGTGGTGGTGGTCGGTACTGCAGAGGAAAACACCGAGCCGCCCGTCAGCGTCGACGTGGTGGACGATGTGGTGTACGTGGTGGTGGTGGTGGTCGACGTTGTTGAGTTTGACGGCTCGCTCACCACAATCTGTACACTGTATTCTGCGCTCCGTTCATCGTAGCTGCCAATACCGAGGATGTACGCACTGCTTGCCCCGCGTGCGCTGGTGTGAGACACAACCTCGTTGTCGCTTGCGCTGTATCCAGTGTCCACCACAACCCCCTGGCTATCCATAAGGATGATGTCAATGTCACTGCTGGCGTGGCTGAACAGCACAGTGATGGTTAGGGTTGCGCCGCCCTCGATGGGCCCAATGGCGTACAGGTCAATGTCGGCCCCGCCACAAATAGTGGCGGCGAACGCCGTCTGGTCATCATTGAGCACAGCGATGGTGTCGGGGTCATCGTTGGGCTCAAACGCGTCCAGCTCGCACTGCAGCAGGGACGAGGTGGTGGTTGTGGGGGTGGTCGACGTTGTGGTCGTGTCCAGTGTCGTGGTCGTTGTGGTTGGAGGCACACCAGTGCTCACTGTCCCCATGATATGGTACTGACCAAGGGAGCCGTAGTCAGACGGAAACACAGCCGCATCGCCAACGCCGTCAATCTCAATGTAGTAGGAGCCAGCTGGCAGCGCCGTCGCAGTGAGTGACGCATCCGCGGTACCGGATGGGCTGCTCGTTGCACCGAGAACCTGCGCTCCTGTGCTGTCGTACAGCGTCAGCTTCACGTCCAGGTTGTTGCCGGCGGGACCCTTGCTGGCGTACCACGGGGTTGCGCTGACGCTGATGTAACCTTCATCCACCAGCCGCACCCGCCACCAGTCCTTGTCCGTGCGCTGAGTGATGACGCCTTCCGCCATGAACTCGTTTCCGCCAACGTAGGTGACCGAGGCGGCTGTGGCGGGGGTGTCTCCTGCCTCGTCGGCAGCAAAGCCCGTCTGCGTTGCGATGATGTCAACGTCGTCCTCCATGTTTGTTGCACCAGGATAGTCACCGTTACTCCAAGTGGTCATCGCGCGATCGTACGGTGCACCCATGATGGGTCCTACATGCGTGTGCGTGAAGTGGTGTGTCAAGACAAACACATGGGTGTGAGGCTAAACAAACACGTGTTTGGGTGCGCAAAGCACAGTGTGTGTGTGTGTGTGTGTGTGCGCGCGCGCGCGCGTGTGTGTGTGTGTGTGCTCGTGTCGATGTTTTGCTCTCCTTCATCTCTAGTTGTGTGTGTGTGTGTGTGTGTGTCTGCGTGCGCTCATTCCAGAAATCACATGCAGCAACAGATCTGGTCACTATTGCCGTTCCTGCCTCCCTCACCCCATGAGTTTTCGTCCGTGGTGCCGCTCATTCCTTCGTAGTATCCTTGAGAATTGTAGCCATCATGGCTCAGGCCAAAGTTGTGCCCTGCCTCGTGCGAAGCAGCAAGCGCCACGTATTGGTCATAGCCGTCGCCCAGGTTGTCCCAGTACACTGTAAGGTGCGCGCGTGGCAAGACAGTGGTGGTACATCAGCAAAGTCAGAAAGCTGATGGAAACGATGGAAACGCACTCGGCAGTGTACAGCGTGTACCGTCGATGTGTCCGATGCTTTGCATCGTGGAGCAATGCAGAACAGCACAGGGCCGTTATGTAGTGTCACCGCAAGAGTAACCGCGCGAACACACAGTACAACGACACCATCTCCAATGTTGTTCTTTTGACACTCGCATGACAACCCAAACATCCCAGACACACAGCCAGCGTGGGTTGCGTATCTCAGCCACGTTGACTTGATGTCACAAAACGGTTCAACGTACCAAGAGCCGGGGAGTAGTATTGAATGCTGAAGGACCCAAACACATCTACCACCGCGACGCCTCCCGCATCGCTGGCGGGCATGGGGCTGCCATTGGCCTGTGTGCTTCTTGTGATGAGTACGTGGAGGGTGGTTGGTCCTTGCGTCTCGAAGGGCTCGGTCGTGACGTCGATATCGAAAGGCGCGTAGTCCTCGGCCATACGCTGCCAGATGAGAGCAACCTGGCCCTGCTCAAATGAAGAGAACGCGGTGCCGTCGTTGGATGGATCAAACGGAAGCGCAGAGAAGGCGCCCCAGTAGTTGCTGGAAGAAGTTGAGTGTCCATCAAAGTCAAGCACCATTCTGTTTGGGGAGCCAGGGCGGCTGTGGTAGATGGGGAGACCTATCACAGGCATCGCGAGCGTGTACGCGGTCATGAGATGAGCACAGACACCGTTGTCCAACCACAACAGTGCAAAACACGAGCAAGAGGCGACGCTCCACGGTCACATACATGGAAAACGCATCGCTGCATCGCTGCATCGTCTTGTCACTTCGACACATCTTCGCTCAGCACATCAACACGCATCAGCAGGTTCCCCAAGCGCTCACATCACGTCGACGTGACTCGCTGGGTGACTGGTTGGGCTTCACATACCGAGATCGTTGAAGGACAACGGCGGGTTGTCTGTGAGATAGCGGCGGCCGCGGGAGTGCGCTACGTCGACATCCTCCTTTGTCACAGGTGGAACGGGAAAGTCGTCGGCAACGTGGACCTCCCCGCCCTGGCCGAAGTGCAGGGTGTGTCCATCCACCACAGGCATGCTCAGCTTCTCAAGCTTCTCCTTTGCTGCCTGCTTGGCCTGATCGCTCAGGAGGTTGAACTCTGCAAACGCAGAAGGCGCAGCCTCCTTGAGGTTGTCCATGGTGAGCTTCTTCCTTGGTGGTGCGTCCTGGGGCTTGTATGCTGCCTTGGCGTCAGCAGTGTGAGAGATGATGGCCTCAAAGACGGACTGGGGATCCGCCTTGGTGTCTTGAGCGTGTTTGTTGGAAGCTGGTTTGCTCGCGCCATGGCGTCCCCCTCGGAAATTCTTGAGCGTGGCGCCAAAGTTTGACGCGTGGGCTGGTCCAGCAAAGCTGCTCTTCTTCTTGCCATTGGCAGGAACAGGCCTGGCAGATGCATGTGGCAATGCCGTGGCCAGGATGACAACAACGCAGACGGCCAGCACAGCGGTGGCAGTCACGCGAGACGGCATCGTGGAACGGTGGAGTGGGCGTGGTGGCGTCGCTCCGCGTGCGTGCGTGTGGTTGTGGGGTGAAAAAGATGGCAGCGGAAAATGTCTGCTGTTAGCTACGGCTGCCGCCACGTTAAGGTTGCACAAGGCGGGGCGGGAAGAGGAGGAGTTGATGTGTGTGATTGCTTCTTGCCGGGGTTTACGCGGCGGGCATTGTAAGAAAAACCGCGGAATCTTTCGCAAACATTCGATGTACAACAGGAACAAAAGAGCAAACGACAACAATGTCGCACTGTCACAGATGGCACAAAGCACAGACAGGTCATCAACAACATCGACACACAACAACAGCATGCAACAACACAGCTCAGAACGCCATGGTGGCAGCAGCGGTTGCGTTGGGGTACAGGAACTGCTGCAGGTTTTCCTTGAGGGCAAAGTCGTACACGACATAGGACGCTGCGTTGGCCATCTCTCCAAGCACGCCCTCGTGAATGTTGTCAAGGTCATCGCACGCCTGCAAACACATAAAAATGTGGGCAACAACAGAGGAAGCAACAGGGAACAAGGAGTGTCAGCTGCCAAGCCGAGTACAGATGTTCACAGCAGCAGCGCAATCGTGCGCACACAAGTAGCCTGTAATGCTTCTTCCACACACAGAAAGGATGATCAATTGGACACACACACACACACACACACACACACACACAGACACCACACCATGTGATAGCAGGTGTCGTAGGCGACGTTCATGATGCCGCCAAACTTGCGGCGCTCCTCGGCCGTCTTGCCACCAACGGGGCCCTCTGCTCCCGTGAAGAGACCGCCTGTTTGTTAATGCCCACACGGCACAGGAACATGAATGACGGAAAGATTGGTTGTGTGGTGAATCAATGAATGCATGTCAAGGGTGGCACAGGTGAGGGGAGGGAAGAGGGGCAAGTTGCGGTGGCGATGCAGATGAGCATTCACACACATGTAACCTTTAAATGGAGACATTGCACGTCATACGCATGTTCTCCGCACACAAACACACGCACACACAAGCAAACAAGCAAACAAGCAGACAAGCAAACAAGCAAACAAGCAAACAAGCACAAGGCACACCACACGCACAGCACCTGCGGGGATTTGGTTGAGGGTGAAGGCAGCGTAGTCTGAGCGTTCGTTGAACTCCGTAAGCTGCCACGTGAGGCCAAGGGCGTCGAAGCGCTTCTCAAACTCGTGCTGGATGATGGTGGACCCGCTCGCTGCTGTGGGATCCGTTGCTGTTGCGCCGTCGTACACGCCGCGAATGAAGTTGGGCGACGCAACCATGTCAAAGTTGAACATGCACGTGATGTTGGCAAGCGCCTCGGGCTGCAGGGAGTTGGTGCACAGAGGATGAGGTGGTCGGAGAGAGGGAAGGGGGAGGAAGAGGTGGTTAGTTGATGAACAGTGGGACGAAGTTCGAGCCAAAGGCGAAGCACAAGCAGGATCATGCATACACACATGAGAACACATACATGTGAAAAACTCAGAAACTTGACTCGCATGTACAGGCATACACGCACTCATATACACGCACACAAACACACACACGCACACGTATACACACACAAACGCACAAACACACGTATACACACACAAACGCACAAACACAAATACTCACACGTACGCACACACACTCTCTATTCACATCAACGCACATCGTTTGCCTTGAGGTCGTTCACGTAGTGGTAGGAGCCAAGCAGCCCGAGCTCTTCGGCGCCAAACCAGATGAACCTCACCTACAGCAGCACATGTGTACATGACAGCGGGCACATTCAATCCTGAGAGAGAGGAGTGCATCCGAGGGGCAAGAGAGAATCAACCCTATCGGAGACACACACACACACACGCACACACACACACACACGCACACACACACACATACACACACGCACACACACACGTACTTTGTTGACGGGCTGCGCATGCATGCGGCGCATCTCGAGCGCCATCTGCAGAATCATGGACGAGCCGGAGCCGTTGTCGTTGATACCAGGCCCAGCCTCCACAGAGTCAAGGTGGCCGCTGTCACGTGCGGCGGAGAACCAAGGGAAAGTGTGTGTGGGGGGGGGGGAGGATAAGCACGTGCGTCGCACATGGATGTACGAGCGAGTGGGTGTGTGCGTGTTTGAAATGTGGATGTGTGCACATACATGAATGCGTGCCTATGCTTGTGGTGCTCAGCGCGTGTGGTATGAGGAGAAGCAAGAAACAACGGAAACATCAGCGTCATGTTGTATTTGCTGAAGACAGCACGCCATGGCCACAAACACGTGAACACGTGGTTGCTGCCCTTACCCGACGACAATGACGCTGTCCTCTCGGCCATACTTCATGTCTGCAATAACGTTTGCCGTGTACTGCGGCACGAGCTGCGAGGACCAATTATAAACGTGGCAGTGGTTATGGCGATGGTGGCGAGTGGATGTGGTTTGAAGTGGTAGTGAGTGGACGAGGGGGTGCGTGGAAGAGGAGCGATGCCCACGCACGGACGGACAGGCAGGCAGGCAGGCAAGGCAGGCAAGGCAGGCAGGCAGGCAGGCAGGCAGATAAACAAACAAACAAACACACGCACACACACACACACACACACACACACACACACACGCGCACACAGACGGGCAAATAAACAAACAAACACCCACCTCGCCGGCAGTGACGATGGTTGCGTTGATTGGGCCGAGGGTGATTGCCTCTGTGAGCTCGAGGAACTGATTGTGGGAGGTGCCGATCATGGGGAGGTCGACGGTCGCGCTGTCGTTGCGGCCTGAGGTCACATGCAACAGCAGCAGCAACAAGGACAGCGCAAACAGTGATGGCAGGACATGGCATCAGATGACAATTCGCATTGATGGCTGCTGTCAGTGGCAATCCACAACACATTCATTCTCCCTCAACGGCACACAATCACACACATGCAGACACACACACAGACACACACACATATACACATACACACAGATACAGACACAGACATACACAGACAGACAGACACACACACACACACACACACACACGAACGTACGGCGAACGCGGGAGCGAAGTGGGAGAGTTGGGTACTGAGGAGTGTTGCCAAACACAATGCCAGCAACACCAGCCGTCTTGCCATAGTAGCCCTGGTGAAGTGATGATGGCGGTGGTGGTGATGGTGATGCTGATGATGATGGGGATGCAGCCAAAGGTCAAAGCAGAACGGAGCTTGAACCTACGACACTGCATCACACACATATATACACACGCACACACATACGCACATGCACATGCACGCGCGCACCTGGTCGTAGAGGGTGCAGTTGCCACGCTGAACAAGAGCAATGGCGCCCGCGAGCCCGAACCAATCGCTCGGCTGGCAGCCATAGTTACGCACCGCCCTGCAAGAGCAAGAGCAAAAGCACCAAAGAAGAAGAGCAAATTAAATGAATGCAAGCGCCATCCTCTGTGCGTGCACAGGCATGTGGGTTTGTGGTGTTGCATCGCGTGTGTCACTGACTTGAACTGCGCTGTGACGGTGCCGGATGCGGAGTATGCCATCGTTGCCACGCCAGGGAATGGCGTTACCGTGCCATCTGCAGAAGCAAGCACCGAAAGTGAACAAGAATGTTGAGCATCACATCACGTCACGTCTTTGGGAGCGATAATGTTGACACAGACACGCATACACACAGGCACAGACATGCACACAGATACACAGAGAGAGAGACACACAGATACACAGGCAGAGACACAGATACACACGCACAGACATGCACACAGATACACAGACAGAGACATACACACAGGGACAGACATGCACACAGATACACAGGCAGAGACATACACACAGGGACAGACAGTCACACAGACACACAGACATACAGACACACACACACAGAAACACACAGACACAGACACACACACACACACACACACAGACAGAACCCCCCCCCCCCCTACACACACAACAGAGACACAAAGTACCGCGAGTAAGGTTGAGGACTGGGGTGGCCGTTTCCTTGAAGGTGGTGACGGTGAATGGCTGGACAGTGACGGTGTAGTAATCCGAGTCGCTGGTGTTCAGCTGCGAGACCACATACTCCACACTCTCGTTGTAGCCGCCGTAGATGGCAGAGCGCGTGTTGGGGTACCGCTGGCTGATGTTGTACAGCATGCGCAGGTGCACGGTGATGTCGTCGGCAGTGACGCGCGCAGCAAAGGAGTCTGCTGCTCGCTCCGTGTTCGCTGCGTCGTCCCCCTGCGTCAGCAGCACAGCCAGCACAACCACGGCCGCAACCACCAGCACACCGCCCACCATCAGCACCTGCCGCGACAAGAGCCCGCCACCACCTCGGCTACCGCCCGATTGGTAGCGGCGCCCGCGCTCGTGCGGGTCTGTGCTTGTCGAGGATGGTGGTGGCGCATCCTCAATCACCAGCCGCGTGCTCTCCGATGGTCCGTCTCCGCTCATGACGCTGAGAACAAGCACACCAAAAAGCAAAGCACAGAAAGACGGTGTTGTGCAGTGTTGTGCGTGTTGCTGCAGCGCGTTTTCTTTTTTGGAGGAGTTTGCTGCAATGTGGTCCTTCCTCCAACCCTGCTCTGGTTTGCGTTTCGCACTATCCAATCCAATCCAATCCTTCCATCGATTCGTTCATTCATGATATTGTTACATTACACCCGCCTAACCTGGCCACAGGCAGAAAGGCAGGCAGGCATGCAGGAGAGAGAGAGAGAGAGAGAGAGAGAGAGAGAGAGAGAGAGAGAGAGAGAGAGAGAGAGAGAGAGAGAGAGAGAGAGAGTATAGAAGGCCCGGGGGGATGCACAAGCAGGGAGATCAAGAAAGAGGAGCACAGTGGCAATCGTGTACAACTGAACATCATGTCATCACAAACAACATTCACGTCAACATACCACGACCCACACCACTTTGCACACACACACACACACATCTAGTGTGTTGTTGCCGCTGCCCGCTGGGCTACCACCACGTCCAAGGCCATGTCGGCAAAGAGCGGCCACGCCAGCTGCGCATCATCATACATCATGAGCCCGCGAAACGCAACAGGCAACCGCTGCACTGCCGTGTACAAGTTTCCATTGCGCCTGTCCAAGGCAAGCACGTCGCCCGCAGCAGAGAGCAGCTGCTGGTTCAACCCGGGCTCCAGCGGCGCTGGCTCGCTTTCATCATGCATCTCATCGACATCAGCGTCGGACGCACCCTCAGCATCGTTGTCTTCACCATCGCTGGCGCGACCAAGCGTTTCCTCGGCATCCCTCTCGTCTTCGTTGTCCGAGAGCACGTGCGGTGATGTCCCTGTGCTGTACCATCCGCGCCAATGAAACATGCTTCGGTGTGTGTTGCCGCTGCTTGTGTGTTTGCCACGACAGCGATGCCGTTGACCGCGTTGCCGACCCTGACGATGGTGTCCGTGATGGCGGCCTGCTCTCGCAACAGCAGCAGCAGCTGCTGATCGCATTGGCCACCACGACGCAGACTGATGCCGTGTGCTGTTGTCATCATCGTTGACCTGATTGCCATGGCCATTCACGTCATCGACACCGTCGTCGTTGTTGTGGCGGCGGCGGGACGCAAAGGGGCTTCGGAGAATGATGCCGTTGTGGTCCAGCCGGACAATGTCGTCTGCATCCCCAACGCTGCGGGTGCGCCTGTGCTGTGCCATCATCACCCGCCCTGCCTCCTCCCCTCGTCTGGCTTCATTGACCTGGTCTCTCGCCCTCCTGTCACTCCAGCCAACATTCGACAGCAAATCCTGGAAGCGCACGGCAAGCCCGCGTGTCCACAGGCCCCTCGTCGCATCTTGATCATCGTTGTCATCGTTGTCATCGTCACCATCGTCATCACCAACGCGACTGCTGCTGCTGCCCTGTTGGTCACGGGCAGCTGTGGAGCCCTGGCCACGGCGGCGGCGGCGACGGCGGCGCAGGCCCGTGTCAGCACTGATGGTTGTCGCAATCACAGCACTCGTGCTGCTGGCGGCCGTGTCGGTATTTGTGTCTTCAGCAGCAGCAGCAGCAGCATCATCATGGTTGTCGCGGTCATTGTCTTCGTCACCATCGTCATCGTCGCCCCAATCAAACGTTCGCTGGCGAAGTGGCGAGAAGATCGCAGATGCCGGCGCACTCCGCAGTGATGCAGATGCAGGCGCTGTTGCCGCCCTTGCCGATGCTCTTGCGGCCGCCGTTGGCGCTGCTACAGCTGTGGCTGGCTGCATACCATCAGCACCGGTGCCAGCCGCGCGGGTTGGCACGGGCGCAATTGGGTGTGGCCGAAGCATGCGCCGTGCGCGCTGTGGGGACGACGACCGCGAGCTCATATGTGATCGGATGGTGCGGCGAATGGTGCGCGGCGAGGCACGGTCACTGCACTCCTCAACAGCCCTGTTGTTGTTTGGCACAGCATGCACAGGGTGAGGTCATGCGCCATCTGTATGTGTGTGTGTGTGTGTGTTTGACAGTGTGTGGCAGTGACAAACAAACAGAGGACGGTTGGCATCACAGTTGTCGTTCACTGTGGGGGAAGCGTGGCGTGACTCACTCGTTTTGGGGCCGGCGGGCGCTGAGCCGGGAAAGGACTTGCTTGCGGTACACATTACGGCACAGATTCTGCAACCATGGAGAAGCACAGACCAGACGAGCGAGATGTTTGGTTGAGATGAGGTGGTGGGGTAACAATGGGGGTGGGGAGAAAGGGAGGGGTCTGCACAGGAGTGAAGAGGTTGTTGCACACAACAGAGGTAAATCCCTCGTTGCATGCACGTGAACGATTCACTCGCTGCTCCAAAACACACACACACACACACACACACACACACACACACACACACACAAAAGCACGCACAATCAGACCCGCTCATGTGTTGCCTCACACTACCACAAAGCGAACCGTACCTGGAGCGTTGGCACGGATTGTGTTGCTGTTGTGCGCGGGCGGTGTTGGCGAATCATGTTGAGCAGCAGCCACGCACAGCGCGTCTCCATCGTGCCACTGCACACACACGCACACGCACACAACACACGCACACAGAGCAATTTTATGGGCAACAACAGGTCAATGGTATGCCGTGAGATGCTGGCAGACTTGGTGCTGTGCGTGCATATCATTTTGGTGTGTGTTTGCGTGCGTGTATGTATGTGCAGCACCGTGGCTCTGTGCCTTGTCCTTGCATTCGCTCTCACTTCGCATGCGTTACAGGCGTACACACCTTGAAGCAGCAGCCTCCTGCCACGTATTGTCGTCGAAACGGGCCCACATGTCCGCAACTTGCAGCCGCGAGAAGGTCGCGCCTGCAGCGACAATGACGTACACCAAGCGACCGTGGGTACGGAGAACACAGGGCGTAATCACAAGCGCGCGCACACAGACACACACACCCAACACACACACACCCACCCAACACACACACACACACCCAACACACACACACACACACACACACACACACACGCAAGCAGACACGTGTGAGCAACGTGCACGTTCGCACCTGCAATTTCAGCGGCTGCTGTTGCTTCGAGCGAGCCAAAGTGCTTGGCCAGCTTGTCGTCCTCCGTTGCGCCTGCAATAAACATGACGCAATCCAATGAATGAATGAATGAATGAATGAATGAATGAATGAATGAATGAATGAATGAATGAATGAATGAATGAATGTCAGCGTGTGTGCGTTGCAAACAAGAACAACAGCAAGACTGTGTATGTGTGCGTGAACAGGTGTGCAATGAGGACCCGACTCTGCCACTTGACGGGTGCAGGTGCACAGAGGTAGCAGGCGTCTCACCGAATGCGCCGAGCGAGAGGATGAGGTAGAGGGTCGAGCACGGATACGACATGAGAGATTTCTCAAACACGAGGCAGTTGAGCGAAACAGGCACACCTGCAGCACAACAAAGAACAGGATGGATGTAATGAATGTAGGTACAGAACTCAGATGAAGAAGTGCCGCGTCTTTGACGATCACAGAGGCACACACACACACACATGCACACACACACACACACAGACTGAAGGGTGACGAACCGAGAGCAGCCATGAGGGCAAAGACGGCGTTGCGCTGCTCCACAACATCTGTTCCAACCGGCATGTTTGTCCACCCAATCCGGACATATTTTCTGCCACGCGCAACACAGCGACGGAAGAGCGTGTCGCTCGCGCTGTTGAGCCGGCTGCCCTTCCACAACAAAAACGCAGCTGTTGCCATTGAGATGTGCGTGTGCGTTTTGTTTGGGGGGTGGGGGTTCACGGCGAAGAACATTGCACGAAGGAGCGTGTGAGTGAAGAAAGACGTGTGGGTCGCATCATGATATTGATGTGGTATCAGCTGAACGACACACGCACGCACACACACGCACGCACGCACGCACACACACGCACGTACACATACGCACGAGCGCACACGTGCACGACAATCACTAGCATCAGCATCATCAGCACCGCTTGCACACCCATATCTGGCTGTGCGGCGCAGCACGCGGCCTCAAAGACGGAGACGCCGCGACTGTCCACAGCATTGACATCGGCACCGGCACCAACGAGCAGCTTCACCAAGCCTTTGCGGCCCTGGTCCAACAACCAGATGGCAAGCACACATGTACGCGCAGGAAATGGCGAGGTGAGCGCGGTATGCTATGGTCACTCAAACGCAAGGACACAGAAGGGCTTCGAGGGTTGCGTGCGCACGCACACGTGCGCACGTGTGTGTGTGTGTGTGTGTGTGTGCAATTCTGCAACAAGACACGCAAATACTGCTGAACACACACACACACACACACACACATAAACAAACGCGCACGCACTCACACACATAAACAAACGCACAAGAGCAAAGTTGCGTGTGAGGATTGCAGCACCTCTGAGATGGCGAGGTGGAGCAAGCTCTCGCCGGACGGGGTGGTGAGTTTGATGTCATCGGCATCGGCGTGCTTCAGCAGCACGGCCACGACGTCATCGGGGGCGCTGGGCGCAAACGCAACGACAGGCATAGCGGCGCAACGTGGCATGAGCTGCAACAATCCAGCACGCCGGGGAACCCGAAGCAGGCACAAGCAGGCCCACAGGCAGACAGAACATACCCACGCAGACACACATACACGCATACCCGCATACCCGCATACACGCAAACACGCAGAGCTGCAGAGCCCACCCCCCCCCCCCCCCGACACACACACACGCAAATGCATACGCACCGGTACACGGCAGACCCGAGGACGGGGAGGGCCATGCGGTCGCACGCTGCGAGCG